CTCACAAATCTGGCAAGCAACATGAGAACTCAGTCTCAGGATACATCAGATTAGAGTCTCTGGTGTTCATCAGTCTTTCATCTAAACTTTCCAGGAATGAACAGGAATGGCCCATGGTGAATGACCAAAAGAAATTAATTTTCTTCCAAATACCTGTGAAATTGCTTGACTTATTAGTAATTTTTTTCAGAAAAGAAAGATGAATTTTTCACATTGGGTTATTTTCAAAGGATCTAGGCTTATACTTTGAAATTAATGATTCTCTTCTTGAGTGCTCACTTCCTTTCTTACTACAAGTATCACAATAGTATGGACTCATCATAAATAAGATCATATAACCCTGTAGAAACGACTTTAGCCAATATAGAAATTCCTGAGAATATTTCTGGAAAATGCATTCTATAAAAAACATTAAGCTTGAATTTCAAAAATCTATGTGCACACCTATATTTATCTTTCAATTTCATTTTCCACAAGCTTTCTGAAATACTCTCATATCTGCATCCCATTAAGAAATAAAATTGCTATTATGATAGTTTTATGGGAGACCATTTTTATCTATTGAGCTCAGCTATTGAAACATTTGTTGAGGTCCTTATGAGCGATATACCATGTTTGCAATTTGCTTTATTTTAGAAAAATCAGCAAAAACTAAATTAATGAATATCAATGACAAGTGGTGAATTGTTAAATCACAGTAATGAGTCTCTCTCTCTCTCTCTCTCTCTCTCTTATCTCTCACTCTCACTCTGCCTCTAACTGTGTGAAATGCTTGTAGTATAGAATAAAAATATATATACTCACAGAAAATATCATGATTGTAGGATGTAATTGGAATCTGGAATTCAAGGAAATAATCACCTTTATATGTCATTTCTATTTAGAATAAAACAAACAATAGACGTGTTTACTGAATAGAACAGATATTGCATTGAACTCTGCTCATTCACTATCGTTATGTCACAGCAATCCTATGATGTAGGAATCATTTTTATCATGTATGAATGAGGAAATTTCAGGTTAGACATGAAATGCCTTGCTTCAGAGTATTCTTTAAAGTATATATTTATTTTTATTTTAAAGACAGAATTACGGATAGGAGAGACAGAGAGAGAGAGGAGGAGAGAAAGGTCATCCGTACATTGTTTTACTCCCTAATGGCAACAACTCCAGGATCCGGACAGGTATGAAGCCATGAACCTGAAGCTTCTTCTAGGTCTCCCACATGAGTGCAGGGGCCCAAGGACTTGGGGTTATCCTTTGCTGCTTTCTCAGGTCATCAGCAGGCAACTCTATTGGAAACGGAGCATTCAGGACTTGAACTGGTGCCCATATGGGATGCTGGTGCTGCAGGTGGAAGACTGATGTGCTGTACCATAGTGCCAACCTGTCCAGAGTATTCTTATCACAGCAGTGGCACACCTTTTGTCTAATCAAGAAGAATGAGAAAATGATGGCATTAAAATAATTTAGGATTGGTGGGAAGGGAAGGATAGGGAAAGTAGCAAGGAACTGATGAGTGTGGCGAACTTTTAGTTGTTACTCTCCTTAAATGCAAGGTCTTGGTCTGAGTTCAACCATTCAGTTTCAAAATGTAATGTAATTTTAAAAGACTTTTGTTTGTGAGAAAATCCACCTAAGAAGTGATGTCGCGTGCTGGAATTCTGCAAGCTAATGCGCTACAGAGGGACAGAACCAATCAATTTTGCAAACTGGAGCTAGTTTATTTCTGTTTATAGCTTTCATTTAATTTTAAAATGTAAGTAGCTCTTTTGTAATGAAGGACAGAATCTCTAAATTGCTCTACTATTCCACAGTTATTGTCAGGAGGATAGAAGCTGACAACTGTGAGTCACATAAGGGATCCTTTCCAAAACTGATTTTGTGTCTCCCTTCTGTTCTCAAAGATCAAATGAAGTCATAACCCGACCCGAAAGCATGGGGATGGGTTGTTGACTTCGCCTCTGCCAGCAGCTGGCTCGCCATCAGGCTCCCATGCTGTCCCACAGGTCATGGGCGTAACAGTCTTTCTTCACCCTCCTTGACTCTCCGCCAAGAGGCACCAGGGAGCACCAGACTATTAAGTCCCTCACCTGGCTGCTTCCAGTTATTCCCCAGCTTGAAAAGAAATGGGGTTGGGCAGTGGAGGAAAAGAGGAAATAAAAATGACAACTGTAACTCAAATACATGTGACTTTATGATCCTGATTTTTAACGAGCAGGTTATGACCTGCTAGTTCCATTGCCCAGAAAAGCCACCAATCCCAGAACTGCTGTCACAGAAATGTGATCCAAATAATATGGCTTGTTCAGAAAATGAATTCTCCAAACAAATGCTCTGGTTTGAATGTTGGCTTTACCACGAGTGAGTCTTGTGAGCGTGGCTGAATTACTTAACTTCTCTTTAACCCCATTTTTGGTCTTGTAAAACTGGAGACAAGAATAGTAATGGACTCAAAGGTTTTGGATGGGGATCAAGTGAAGGAATGCCTGTCATGAGAACACTTCTGACCTATTGTACCTGATAAATAGTATGGGCACATTGAAATGTTTTATGTTCACACAAAATATAGTTAATTGTATTATATATATCAAATACTAATGGCAGGTGATATACTAAATTCTGGAGATGCTAAAATAAATCATCTATAATTCCAGCCATACTCAGGTAAAAAAAGGAATAAAATGAATAGCAGAATGATACATTTGGTATAAAGTGGAATTTTAAACAACAAAGGGATTTAGAAAAGAACCCAGCTTAAGATTGTTAGAGAGGGTTTCTTGTAGGAAAATACCTCTCTAAGTTTGCTTTAGCTACCAATTCTCTGAAGAAAGATAATATTTTGTCCTTCCTACAAATAAACATGAATTTAAAGGACTCCCAAGGTCTCTCAGCTAAGTGTGTCTCAAATCCAAATCTCAACTATACTGATTAACTTCAAGGATATATTTCCTTTAAATGAAGTCCTTGGGATAATATTTTTTTTCCTCTCTCTCCATCTTTCTTGTTTAAAAGGAAATAAAGACTGTCATTCTTCCTGCATTTCCCCTCTGCTTGAAAATTTGGTAAAGATTCAGATTCTCTAAAATTCACCATCTGCTAGGAGTCACAAATCCTACGGTGAAAGAGACGTATCCCGCTAGGAATCTACAGGAACAAAACCATGTGTTGGATCCTGATTCAGCTACTAACAAGCTCTCTAATAATAGGAAAACAACTTTACATATCAAGTCTCCCTTTTCCCCCATTTATAAAATGGAGCAATAATAGTTTCCACCACCTAAAAATGCATGATGTCAAGTCCTTAGCACAGTGGTTGGCACAGTTTATGGTGACTGGAAAAATACTGCCTTTTCCCCCACTCACCCCATGTTCTGACTGTAAAAGCCATCTGCTCATTCTTTTCTGAAAGCCTTCGCCGGAAGGAGTTTCTAGCTTCGCTCACGAAGCATTACAATGCTTGGCCAATAACACAACCAGGATGTTTGACTTTCCCATCTACTGCTCAGGCTTTCATTTAAAAGTTCAGCATTCATCTCTCAGTGAAAAGAAATTTATATTATGTTTAATTTTGCTTTTCCTGATGAATCAATGGGCATCTCAACTTTCTCTCTTCCAAGTTCTCTGGCCCCAGAAGCTTCTTTTTTTTTTTTTTCCTTTCTCAAGTCTTTGTTCTCCTTTCCTTGGGTGACAGACAAGGTCCCTTCCTCTCCCGAGTTTGCTGAGGTGATAATAGTGGTGTCTGCCCATAATATTATGGGTGCTGTGCACTTTATTTTCAAAACACATTCAAATGCTCTGTGTTTATCCTGAAACACAGGAACAAGCTGAGGGGGGTAGATATTATCCCCATATTAAGGATGAGGAAGCTGAAGCTTAGAGGAGACCATGGCGATCAAGACATTGTGTTCCAGGTCTTCTGAGTATAACATCTTCTGGGGACCTCCTAGGAGACCCCTTTCATAAGTGTTATTAAGTCCATCTGCAGGAACAGAGATTAGGGCTAGAGTCAGAGGTTGTACATTAAAGTTACTCCAAGTCTGGGCCTATTTTATTCCAAAGCCAATCAGCTCAATCAGTTAACAATCAAAGGCCGACTCAGCCCATCAGTTACAAACACATTAAAATTAGGACTCCAGGGTACCTTTCTTTAAAATCAAGTCCCTCTTGTTTGTCCAGTGGACTGGAACTGCACACACCTGTGTCTAAGCAGGTGCAACTACACAGGCTTACTTTGCAGCTATTCCTCACTTACTTCCAGCTTAGATTCCTGATATACTTTTGGAATCCCCAAGCATTGTAGTCAGAGATAATAAATTTATGTGCATACTATAGACATTTATATAACTTATTATATATATATAACACAGATGTATAGTATACATATGCATGTAGTATGTGCATAAGTATATTGTATATAATGCATATTCTCATATGTGATATGTACATAATATATGTGTGTATATTATTTATGTGTGATGGATACTTGTGATATGCATACATTATGATTATGAGTAATATGACATATATAAGTATGGAAAATATATACAAATGTATGAATATATAACTATATATAATAGTTATATATGTATATAATATATAATATATGTTCATGAGATAATATATATGTGATCATTTGTATTTATAGGTATACAATAGATATCTAAATAGCATGTGTGTTGGTGTATATTGTGGTTTCAGAATCATGCAACAAAAATAAAGTTTTATCAGATCAACCAATGGTTTCAAAGATCTAACAGCAAAGTATTTCTTCCAACATACAGAGGAATGTTGAAAAAAGGAAAAGGGAATCTGTGGGAAGTTTCCTTTGTTAATGAATGTCCAGACCGTGTTGGCCTGTATTCAGACTCACAAGTGAATCAGATAAAAGCACCGAGCTAAGGGATGAATTCCAATCATGTTCACCTTACTCTGGGGGAGAATTGCTTATGCTGTTATTTGACCTGCTCCACATTCTCATTTTTTTTTTGTCTTAAAAGGAGATGATGGTGAAAAAGGAGATCCTGGAGAAGAAGGAAAGTATGGCAAAGTGGGTCGCAGGGGACCCAAAGGTAGGTGAACTCATGATACAAAATTGCCCTGGAATATCAGAATTAATCTTTTCTCTCTCCAAGCTGTTCTCAAGAAATCATCAACTCTCATAATGTCTTCTGTCCCCAAAATGCATAAAATGTGTTTCACACATGAATTAATTCACCAAAAAAGACCTACATCTGAGGCTAAATCATTAGGGCATGTTAGAGGACCCCTTCTCAAGGCATCTCCAAGGGATAGAAATATCTGCAAATATACAAGATATTTTAAAGTGTGACAATTCCATTTTGCTTGACAAATCTAAAGCAACTCCGGGTTAACACCGTGGGAGGAATGGTGGAACATGGAGGGAGGAAGAGCAGAAGAGACGTGAGGATCACTGGGACAGTAGGGTGACGATTCTGCTCACAAGGTTGAGTCTCTTTGAAACACAGCTGCTGGCCGGATTGGGCTGTGTGGGCATGTATCTGAAGAGTTGAATTATGAGCATCAATTGAAGGAATAGCTATTTAAACTAAGCTCATAAAAGTGTATACCAATTGCAAAATATTTTAAAAAAAATAAAGCTTGTATTTAGTAACTACTTTTAGATCATCATATAAAAGATAAGTAACAATGTTGAAAGAACTCAGTGGGTTTTTGGATAAAAACTAGTGGGACAATCTCCATTACCTCTGATCACATTTCATGATTAAACATGCCTTTCTCTATTTTAAACTGGCTAATGTTGTCAAGACTTGTTTCAAAAAAAGAGAAAATAGAATCCTAAAGTGAAGCCAAAATGGTTCTGGAGAACAGATCCAGAACGAAGCTCAATGTGGCTTCCATTCATCCTTGTCTAAACTTTTGACATCCTCTGCTAGAATCAGTCTAGAAATGCTGCACCATAAGTAACTTATTATCATCACATCCAAGAACATTATATTCATCTGCATTTTAATTTTAATTCATTATCAACACTCTAAAATAGGGAACAGAGTAGAAGATATATATTAGATATCACAGCTTTAAAAAAAAAAAAACTACTTTTTTGCTGTTTACTTCAGGTAAACAGCATGGTAGCCACATTTTTAAAAGGAAATATAAAGCAATGTCATGAAGATGGCATCCTGTTCTTTTCAGGAATTAAAGGAGTACTTGGTGATATAGGATCCCAAGGCAATATTGGCAAGACAGGACCTATTGGCAAGAAAGGTAAGCTGCATTTAACACTTCTTCCATGGACATTTCAAGCAAATTGAGCATACTCTTAATATGCATTCTAAGTTTTGCTTCAGGAAAATGGGCCCTTTCCTTTCCTTTAAAATATGGGTTATCTCTGTTTTCATTGCTTGAATCTTTCTTCCATGCATAAGCAATATAGCTCACAGGCCAGAAATAAAAGGCCTCGAGGAAAATTAAACAAGATTGCAGGTTGAGAATCAAGCATAAAGAGCATTACAATCTCTATATTGAGCTCCCCTCCGGCCTACAAGTTGAATACTAAATTTTATATAATTAAAAATTATTTTATGATTACTTAACCATATATTTTTAATAATTTCCTTAATTTGAGTGAAGTAACTAATAGTGCATCATTTGTGATCATTTCATAGGATAGAAACTTGAACATATATGGCTATACCTATTTGTATTCAGTCAACTCCTGGCCTTGAGCATAATGGCAGCATAATTGTTATTAAATGGAAATATTGCTCTCTTTATTGTCTAAGTACTCTTTCCATTTTTCTTTGCTTAAAGCCCCACAAGGGTGGCAAATTCAAATTGCTTCTGATATACAGTAATTTATAAGGCATTGTTCTACTTTTTTTAGACGATACAAAATTTTATTTCAAATGACACATAGACTAATCAGGAAGAGGTCTCTCAAAAATAATTATACTATTTAATCACGTGGTTGCTACTGTAGACATAGGAGAGTAAAATTAGATTGATACGATAGAGAACTGATCTAGTGTTGAAGAACTGTAACACTTTGTGGAAATGGAGAAAAGTCTTTTGAAAGAGGTGCAGGAGATATTTCTGCAAAGAATGAGGAATGTTTGATGTCATGGGCATACAGTCTTGCTTTATTTTCTTGATTAATTTATCTCCTGGTTATTTCTTGACTGATTTATTTTTGATTGGTTTATTTGCATAAATTCTTGAACAGTGTATAATCACTCCGAGGTGGCCACCAGTGTGTTTCTGCAGCTAGGTCTATAGAATGGAATCTGAGCTGGCATTGCAGCCTACACCTTAAGGCTTAAAATACCCTCTCTCCCACACCTTTCCATCTCACTACATTTGAGGACTCTCCTTTAACCTGCATCTGAAGGCAGGGAAGATAGAATCGCTGCAAAGAAACTGCTCTGGTTCATCTGCACCTGTTGGCCTACGTGGTATAACGTGTGGTGATAACCTCATCCCAGAGGAAAAGCTAGCTTCTTACAATCACACATCTCACCGCAGTGTGTGTTGGCAGCGCTTTTATCCCAAAGCAAATGGAGCCAAAGGGCTTCAGAATCCCTCATTTGTTTTAGCTCTTTCGAACATCGGTAGAGAAGATTTATCCATAGGTGCACAGGGCATTATGTCTTAGCAAAATTAGTAAAGGAGGATATGTTAGCCCTAACTTGTCAAAATAGTGCCTAAACTAGAAATATACATATATTGCTCCTTACCCAACAAGAGTTTTACTCAATTTTCCCACTAGTTTCCTATGCTCATGGAATAAGAATATCCAACCATAACTATAGATCTGCTTAAGTATTGTAGGTACAGATCTAGGTGTGTGCGTATATATACATATATATATATATATATATATATTTTTTTTTTCCTCCTCTGAGAACTGCTTTTGCACAGATGATTTTTCTATTGTCCCATTGAGAAAATATGAGGTAAATTATTCTCTTCTTCCCTTGCTTTCATACTGCTAGCACTGGGTGGTTTTGGAGTGGAGGCAAGTATTTTGAGAGCTAGCTAAGAAGAACATGAGTAAGGAAAACATTTAGCTTGGACTTAAAGAGATCTAGCTGTGTAATTTGAAGTTACTTCCACATTCAGTTAATGCTAACAGTCCTAATGTAGGAATAGCTTCCAAGAATACTCCGACCACTTACTGTGCAATTTATCAAAATCAAGACGCACAGCTGCTAAGCCAGAAATTGGATTAGGGAATGAATGTCTCCTGAAGCATCCAGAAAAAGAAGGATGTTGATCACGGAGAAGAAACACTGTTTGGGGTCAGGAATCTGTTTAACTGCCAGTTAGGGCATCACATCCCATGTCAGAATGCTAGATTCAAACTCAGATCCTATTCCAGATTCATTTTTGTTTGTTTGTTTGTTTGCTTGCTTGTTTTTTTGTGCTAGTGCACACCTAGTGCATGCTAGTGACGGCTCAAGTAATTGGGTCCCTGTCACCAAGACAGTCCAGACTGAGTTTCCAGTTTCTAGTGTTGTGTGTGTACAGGGAATGAACCAGTAGAGAGAGAGAGAGAGAGAGAGAGAGAGAGAGACTCTCTTTCAAAAGACCTCTGCTTTGAAATAAGTAAAAACAAATTTTTTTAAATAAATAAAATGACTAACCATGAAGAAAAGCAAACGATTGAGAGTCTACTAAAATAAAGAGTAAAAGACACCTCGGGGGGGGGGGGCAGCACAATGGCATAGGAACATTATCCTCCACCTCTGGTGACAGCATCCCATATGGGCCCTCGTTCAAGTACTGGCTGCATGACTTCTGATCCATCTCCCTGCTAATGGCCTGAGAAAGCAGTCTAGGATGGTTCATGTCCTTGAAACCCTGAACCCACATAGGAGAAAATTCCAGGCTTGTGGCTTTGGATCAGTTCATCTCTGGCCATTGCAGCCATCTGGGAAGTCATCACCAGATGAAGGGCTCTCTTCTCTTCGTCTCTCTGCATATCTGCCTAACAAATAGAAATAAATCATATAAAAAAGACACTTCTGAGGCAAAAAGAAAAAGGGACATAACTGGTTATGTGCTACATTTATGTCCTTTGAATGACTGTATAAATCAGGATAGAGACCCTTATACAAGGGAACAGTAATGACTAAGAGGACCACAGAAGAGGCTTCCTGAGGCTTTAGTGTGTCTCATTGGTGGTTCTGCAGACAATTCATTCTGTGAAAAGCCATTAATCTACATCCTTATGTTGGAACACTTCCTTCGTGTTCCCCTTCAATGCAATAGGTTAAGTTTAATAAAATAATTTGTTATTAACCATATTAGGCAGAAGACTGCATCTAATTGCATTATCCTTCTAGCCTCTCTTAAAAATATTAATATTGGGCCCAGCGGTGTGTCCTAATGGTTAAAGTCCTTGCCTTGAACTCGCCAGGATCCCATATGGGTGCTGGTCTGATCCTGGCAGCTCCACTTCCCATCCAGCTCCCTGCTTATGGCCTGGGAAAGCAGCCGAAGACAGCCCAAAGCTTTGGGACCCTGCACCAGCGTGGGAGACCCGGAAGAAGTTCCTGGTCCCGGGCTTTGGATCAGTGCAGCACCGGCCATTGTGGTCACTTGGAGAGTGAATCAGTGGACAGAAGATCTTCCTCTCTGTCTCTCCTCCTCTCTGTATATCTGACTTTGTAATAAAAATAAATAAATCTTTTAAAAAATATTATTAATCTCTACTCAAAGAAAGAATGCAATCAAAGGTATATAAATGTATATATCTCATAATTTTCCCCCTAAAAGAATTAGTTACAATTCATTCATTCATTAAAGTACAATTTTTAGTGATTTTTAAAAATGCAGTATTTGTCAACTTTCAAAATGTAATCACGTAGGTGTTATGATAAAGATTCACTTGTACAATCACTCATCCATTTGCAAGTCTGTATTATTTATAATTTCTAAAAAATGTTGTATTGATCAAGAGAGAGAGGCAGAGACTTCCACCCACTGGTCTACTCCTCAAAGGGCTGCAATGGTTGGGGCTGGGCAGGACTGAAGCCAGGAGCCAAGAGCACAGTGCAGGTTTCTCTCTGTTGGTAAGAGCCAAGTGCTTGGTCCATCTTCTGTTGTTTTTTCTCTTGGAGCATTGGCACAATGCCAAGTGGAAAGTAGAGCAGCTGGGCCTCCAACTGGTGCTAATATGAGATGCTAGCAAGCATCATCTTAGTCCACTGTGCCAACATGCAGCCCACACGTCATTCTTCACAGAGATGACTGTGGGAATTGTGCGAGTTTCAGATAATATGCACCACAGATCTCCCTTTGGCACTGTCAACTTCATGGACAATTAGTTAATAAAGGGGAGGGAAGTGAAGGGATGGTATAACCAGAAAGTAAAATGTTGGACCTTAATATTTCAGAGATGGAACCATGTTAAATAAGGTCAAAATCCCATGCACTGTCCTGGGTTAGCAAGTGCCACAGACAAGTCCACAATTGTCACTTTTTACTTCACATTGCGTCATTGCAGGGATTGCAGTCCCTAAATTTACTTTATTTATTTAAAAGGCAAAAAATAGACAGAGATAAAATTCTCCCACATAACAGTTCACACTCTCAAAGCTTACAGCAGTTGGGAATGTGCCAGACTCAAGCCAGGAGCCAGACGTTCAATCCAGATCTCCCAAGTGGTCGTCAAGCACCTCTTATTTGAGCCATCACCCATTGCCTACTGCAGTGTACATGATCAGAAGCTGCAATCCAGGGCGGTTGCATGACTCCAACCAGGGCACCCCAAGTGACATTTCAACCCCAATACCAAATGTTCAGCACAAATGCTAACTTCAGATGCATCTCCAGTTGTAAGATTTAGAGTTAATGGTCTTCAACCAAATTTTATTGTTTTCATAAACTAAGTAACTTGAAAAGGTGATAGAGGACAAAGACAAGGAAGAAACTACACATTTTAGTACGACTGTCTGTGCTTCAAGATTAATGAATTTCCAAACACATTAAAAACTGTTAATCTGGAATGATTGAATTTACTAATCTTTTCTTTAGCCCAATCCCTTCCATATGGTTTAGCCACATCGTACCTGTTGCAGTTACCTTTACTCCTTTTAGTGGCTTTTTCGTTTACTCAATTGTCACAAACATTCTGTACACAAGGATCACAACATCACATAATAAAATTATTTTTTTAATAGGGCTGTGTTGTGCCATAGATTAAAGCACTCCTTTTGATGCTGGTATTCATATTGACATATTGGAGTGTCAGGTGAAGGTTCAGTTGTTTCACCTCGAACCCAGTTTCCTGATATTAAGCCAAGGAATGCAGTGGAGAATAGCTCAAGTGTTGGGGCCTGGATGGGTGCCCGGCTTCAAGCTGACCCAGCCCTGTTCCTGGCCTCTGGGAAGTGAATCAAGAGATGGAGGTACTCTTGGTACTTCTCCCTTTCTCTGTCACTTTCAAAAATTAGAGAAATAAAGAGAAACTTTCAAATAGAAAAAGTTAAAAAAACAAATAAAAAGAACAAAGATTAGCATTGTCTATTTGTTTAAATAAATGTAAGTTTGTGGTAAGCTTACTCTTTAATTATTTTCTCATGATATTTGCTCTAGAGTAGAAACTAAGTGTTTGTTATGTTAAGAATGAAAAATCAATGCAAAAGCATATTGTTTTCCACAATATGGTCCTTTTTTCTATTTCTATTCCTACGGGTACCACTTTTCCTTACCATCAATTTCTACTATTGGCTACTAAGATTTCTTCTTCAGATATATGCCATCAAAATTTATGAGTGTGCAATTTTTTAAAAAAAATGGAGAAGTAATGTTCTGGTTCACCTGGATTGATTTTATTTTTAAACTTTACTTTGAAATTTATTGTCCTCATTTCGATGTTGGCCCTTCTAAACTTTTCACTGCCTAAAATCTATCTCCACTTTCCAGGCTGATCTTAATGTTGTCAATTGCATGGATAAGGTAGCTTTCTGGATGTCAATATTTCATTTTAGGACTAAGAAGTAAGAATGATTTAGTATAGGTAATTTCAGTGTTAAAGCAAAACAAATATTTTTACTTAAAGTCAATAATCCTTTTACACTGAAAGTACTATGATTTTTGTTTGTTTTGAATTTGATCTCTAATTCTAAGCATAAGACAGTTACACAAGCATTTTACCACTTTGGCCAAAATATACTTTTGTGGATGGCTTTAAAACATAGTTAGTTTTGGAAAAATAGATGTTTTAAATCTAATTGTCTTGTGATCTGGCTAAGTATTTTGCATGCATTCTTAGGGGAACAGATGTAAAGATTTTTTAAAAGAGATTTATTTTTTTTATTTGAAATGCATTGTGACAGAGAGATTGAGAGGAAACAAATGGTTTTCCATCTACTATATCACTCTCCAATACTTAGCAATAGTTAAAACTATAGCAGGCCAAAGTCAAGAATCAGAAAACCCATCCTATCCTTCACATGGGTGGCAAGACCCCTGAACCTGGACCATCGCTCACTGCCTCCCAGGTTGATCAACAGGAAGCTGAATTGGAGCTTATTTATAAAAGCTGGATCTTACAATTTTAGAAACTATATTTTTAGACAACATTATTTCCACAAAGAATGACTCATATGTGGGCATAAACCTTGTGAAATGAAAGCAAAAGATTTCATGATGCTACTGAGAATGAATTAAAATTTAAAACCTAAAAATGTTTGGAAAGGCACGTGGAGGAGCAGTTAAGTCATTTATTGGGGCTTCCCTTCCTTTATCAGAGTACCTTGTTTGCATACCAGGCTTCTCTAATTCCAGTCTTGCTTGCTGATAATACATACCCATAAGCAACAGGTAATGGCTCAAGTATTTGGATCTCCATCACCCACCTAGAGATATGGATAGAGTTCTGTTATCCTGGTTTTCATCTGGCCTAATCCTGGCTGTTGCAATCATTTGGAAAATTATCCAGCAGATGGAAGATCAGTTGGACATCTGAATATAGATAACTGAAACTAAAAAGTCGAATAGCAGATAAGGTGACTACTTCACACTATTTGTAAGGACAGACCAATTCTAACATAAATATGCAATACATGTTGAATCAAAGGGACTCATATGCAAAGAATATACTGCATTTTTTTTCATTGTGATACCAAAACCATATTCATATGACCTTTTAAATTTATGTTGTTTCACATCGTGATAAGCACTGATGTCCTGTAACATTTTTTTAGTAAATTTTTATTTATTTGTTTGTAAGGCAGAAACAGAGAAACATGGAGGTGGAGAGAGAAAAGGGAAGGAGGGAGGCAGAGAGCGAAAGAGAAACAGTACAAAAATCTACCTCCTACTTTACTTCCCAAAATCCCCAGTGGTCTGGGCTGGACCAGGGCCAGACCATGTACCAAACCCCAGAACACAACTCAGTGGTCCTATATGAGTAATGGATGGAATAAGTAACAGAGCCATCATAACTGTTTCTCAGGGTCGCACTGGTGTGAAGCTGGAGTCAGAAGCATGAAGCAAGTAAGGAACTTGTTGTTTCAATAAGGGACATGAATGTCTTAGCTGACATCTTAATCATTAAATACTTACCTTCCTTTCAACCTTGTTTTTTTTAAGAATTATTTTTATTTGAAAGGCAGAGTTACAGAGAGAGGGAGATATAAAAGAGAAAATTCTTCTGTCCACTGGTTCACTTCCCAAGTGGGCACAATGGCTGAAGCTAACCCAATTTGAAACCAGGAGCCAGGAGCTTCTTCTGTTTTTACCATCTGGATGCATGGTCCCAAGGCTTTGGACCATCTTCTACTGCTTTCCCAGGCCACAGACAGGAAACTAAATGCAAAGAGGAGTAGCCAGAACACTAGCACCTACATGCAATGCTGGCGCAGGTACAGCTAGGATTTAGCCACTGAGCCTTTGCCCTGGGCCCATCAACCTTGTCTAAGTATTTTATCTATTTAGCTACTTAATTAAAAGGAAGAGCAGCACAGAGGTAGTGAGAGAGGCAGCACCTTCCCACTAGTTTATTCCTCGTATGGCCACAACTTCTATGTTTGGATCAGATGAAAGCTAGGAGTCCAGCATTTCATGTAAGTACTTGTGTCATGTTCTGCTGTATTCTCAGGCAGAAGCAGAGCAGGCAGGACTAAAATCTAAACTCAGATATGAGATGCTGGTTCTTTGAACTTGTAGTGACATTTACAAAACACTTTACTTTCTCTCATTAAATCATTAGCTAAAACATTTGGGAAAACCCGTGAGCTGAGAGGGCAGAAGTGGTGGACATCGATCACCAGCACTGTCATTTAATTGTTGGACATCCTTGGGCAAGTTATTTCACCTCTCTCATCATCAATTATCTCAGTTGTAGAATAAAGACAATGAAGGCTCCTAGCATGTAGGATTTAATATGAGAATACTTACATGTGAAAGCCCTCCGGAATGACAACAGATTGACAACCGGCCTCCTTGTTTCTTGTCTTCCTTTAGCATATGTTCAAAATCTGCTTTTACCATTTGCAATTTACATACCAAGACAATAAGGGATTTTGGAGGATGCAACTGAAGTGTCAGCAGATTAACCTGCCCCACAACACACTCCAAGTACACTGCTTTTTTTTCCCCGGTTACCCACTCCCTGCTGTATACCGTGTATTACTTCCTGTCATGAACTTTGGAAATCTTCAGATGGTCAAGCACAAACACTGCTTCTTCTGGGTCCCTTTAAGAGTATATTGTTTTGATCCACTGCCTCCTTCCCATTGCTTCACGTTTCTTGTTACAGGTTCCACCATTGTCTCCTTTTATTCAAGCACAAGTTCTGAGGCTTATACCTGCCTCCCTGCCTTCTTTGGGGGAGTTTATGAAGGCCTGAAATTTATGAAGATCCATTGTAAGGAAAAATTTCCACATGGATCACTTTAGAAAAAAAAAACTCAGAAAAAATGTAGGGGCCTCCATAGACATGCTTATTTCAGTAGGAAGGGATTCCTACCAGGAAGCACACGCAGACAGTGATGTGAATGTTGCTATAGCCTTCTTGCCAGTGATGGGGGCTCCCACAGACTCCGTGAGATTTCCACAGTCTCTGTGTGATGGAGTAGGAAGACGTTACATATAATCTCAATCCTGACTGCCTTCCTGCTCGCATTATTTCCTTGGTTCCTTTTCTCAGTGCCTTAGCTAGACCACCTGGGAGGGTAACTTCATACTCCTTGTAGCCCACATGACCTTCATCCTCTCTTCGTCCTTTGTGAGTTCTATCCAGTTCTTTTTCCAGGTCATTATTGAAGTATAAACTCTATTTTACTTCTGTCAGGGTCTTCTCTTTTGATTCTCAAGAATCTCAGCCAAACATTTTCTCTTGTAAATCAAAGCCTCTTCCTTTCAATTACTGTGTCTGATGTGAGCTTCAAGAACTTATTTTGAAGTCAGGCAAAAAAATAGAAAAGTCAACGTTATTTTTTCTCTCTCTCTATTTTAAAAATTATACTTCTCTGAAAATTATTTTATAGGTGTCTCTGAGTGAGCAAAAATAGGAGCCAAAAAGGAAATTTCAAGGTTGACATTTAATCAGATTATCTTTGACTTTATATTATAGATATTTGCATACATCACTTCACACATCACGTGATTCCTTCGAGTCAAAAGTTTGATCTTGTCTCTTCATATATCCTGTCAATGTACCTGGCCTTTTATCCTGCAAAGTGTGTAAAAGTAAATGTTTGTTGAATTAGATGGAAAAACACAATGCATGTTGTGAAAATCTAAGAGTGAAGACATTTGGTCTCAAGTAGGCTATAATAAGTACGCAGGCACTGCAATTTGATAACCAAGTCGATCCAAGTTTGCAAAACAGTGTTATTTTTAAAATTAAAAACATGCTAAGAATGTCATTAGTTTCGTCCAGATATATATATATGAAATATAGTATATATATTATATGTAAATATATATAAATATATATTCTATATGGGGAGAGGTAGGTAAGTAGGTGGAATGAGTAACACAAATTCAAGTGTTGCTTTTTCTTGCCACTGGAATTTACATTGATTCTAAAAACTTATGACTTGTTTGATTAGATGTGCCCATGTAGTCCACTCAAATTATTTATGTAAAACTAAAAGATATTATTTGAAGATATCGCTAATAAAATTTGAAAAATGACTTCCCCGTAAATGAGGATAATTTCTGCTTGAAAATTTCACCTTTTAATTTACTAATGTTTTGTGGTTGATGCTGTTCTCATTCAGGTGAGAAAGGGGAAAAGGGTTTGCTTGGGATTCCCGGAGGAAAAGGCAAGGCAGGTAAGATATGCTCCTTTCATTCTTTTGTCTATAGAATCATCTCCCCATTCATCAAAAAAAACAATGCATTTTAAGGAGAAAAAAACAAAAGCGGAAATATGCAATGTGCTTCACCCTCTATTCCTTCGGACAACGAAAAGGGAAGAATGAAGCTTTCCTCTCTTCACTCTTACTCTCTCTTCGCTCACTCTTTTCACCAAGCACATTCCATCCCAGGCATGCCGATGGTGAGAGACAGTTGAGACTCTCTTTCTGAGAGGTGGCTCTCTTTCTCGACTAAGAGGAAATTCTGCTGGACCTTTCATTCCACTAGCAATTCACCCAGCTGGCAGTTATCCGCTCGCCAGCAGCAGACTTGCCTGTATCACAAAGGCTTGACAGTTACAAAATATGTTCTCCACAGTTAGGGAGATTCTCTATAAGCATGGAAAAGAGTTTATTTCTAGAGTTTAATTCAGGGAAGAAGGGAGATTGTCCTTGGGAAATTTCAGTTTTTTGTGTCCACAGAAATACAATAAGCGTTAGTTCTAAGAACTATTTGACACTCCTTGCATTTAGCTATAAACATGAATAAAGTCACAGATGTTTTTCTTTTACTACTAATAAAATTACTTTTACTTTCCTACTAAGAAATTGAAATGTTTATATAAGTCAGACATTAGATGAAAAACATGAATGTTCTTATCCTTTTCTTTACAATTTCTTCTCTGCCACAGTATTAGGTAGTTGAGAACACAGATGAGCAAAAGGGAAAGGATGACAACTTAAAGTCCAAGTTGATCCACCAACTGAGAAACTGGCTTTTCCAATTGTAAATGGGACCTATAAATTTACGTGGATCTGAAATTCATCTTTGAAACATGCAAAAATCTCCTTGAAATGAATAATCAGAAATAACATCTGATTGAATTTTGATAAGTTCCTCCTATCTTGGGAGAGTTGTGTGAGCTACTGAATAATGCAACAGCTAAAGAGAACTGGTTGAAAATATGTTTTAAGGAAGCTGTGAAAATTTTATTCTGAGATAGGACAGGCAAATTCTGTGTTCAACAAAAATGCCAAATGGTTCCCAGGGTGAGTGCCTTGGCTTGTCATATGTCTTCTTTTTCAAGATGTCGTTTAGAACTGTCTCTTAACTCATTGGAAACAGGTAAGATGAACACTTCTAAAATTCCAGAACTTGACAGAAATTGCAAATCATGCTTTAAATAAAAGTTTCAAAGTATAGCCATTCACACAGAAAGAGAGTCAGACTGGAAAAAGATAGTCAACATTAGAAAGAACATGTTCTTTGCACTGCATGAACTTCAACAGGAATTCAAAGTTTTCATCCCTTAAAAGGTACTGTGTGTGACTGTGGAAGATATCGGAAAGTTGTTGGACAATTGGATATTAGTGTTGCTCGGCTCAAGACATCTATGAAGTTCGTCAAAAACGGTGAACACATTGTCTTCTGTTTTGTGCTATGTATCTATTGACGCAATTCTTTTTGGCTTTGCAATTCTATGCTCTTAGCAGGAAATACTTTTGAACAAGCAAAAACTGAGATGGTGTTTCTACTTTAAGGTCACCTGGATCCATTCAGATTCCAGAATGCTTCAAGTCCACAGTGTACTCAAACATCATATGTATGAGATATATATATGTATATATAAACATTACCATTGATTAGAAAAGGATACTAGTAGAGAAGGGAAAAATGGGTAAAATTTGATAAACTGTGCCTTAAGAACAAACACAGAGTGCAAGAGTCAGATGTAACTGCCATCTCAAAAAAGGTGGTTCCTTGAGTCCTTGCAACAGTGCACAGTTACCAGCATTGTCTCACTGAGTTCTGCTGCGGTTGTGTTAATGTAGGTCCTATAATGAAAGGGAAGCTCAAAGAATGCACCTTGCCCCAAGATCTGGACTTAATAAGCCCTGTACTCAGAATCTGAATATGAGTTTCTCTAAATCCATCATCCGCAGCAAAAACTAGTCCAAGTATTATTGTTTCCTTAAGTTTAGTAAGGTCTCATACCATTTTTCTTATCCCTTGACCTTTTCCCATAATAGTTAGCAGTAAGGTCCTTAACAGAGGTGGGCCTGAGTTTTTCATTCTGAGAAAGCACTGATGAACGACCTATTGTCATCATATCACAACTTATTTCTTTTGCTGGACTTTAGTTTTTTGTAATTCATAAGTGTTTTCAGTGTGTTGTTTAAAGTACACAAATGTTGTCCTGAGTTTATCCTACCTGGTAATACTAGAGCACAGAAAATGCTTGACTTAGCTAACCACAATGTTTACAGTTCTGCTTTTGCCTTACTAAAGATTCTTTTTCTGATATGTCTGAGACTATCATGATTATACTAGTGCCCAAGGCATAACATAATATATAATATAAAATATTTCTTGACATTGTACTAGATACAGATTTTTTTTTTGCAAATTTAAACTACAGACCTTAAACTTTAGAAGTATCTGTAAAGCAAAACCTATCAAATGACTTGAAGAAATTTATGAAAAACAAGTCAGAAGGGAAGTTTGCTGTGGAATAATACATAATATTCATTTCCACAGTCTTTTGAAGATTCCCCCAACATATGCTGTATTATAAGAGATGATTTTTCCTCCTTTGTTCTACCCCAAGCTTCCTTGATAATTTAGATTCCCTCACTTCCTACATAAATTATGAGAAAGTTCAACCAATGAACATGTTCCTGACACAGGCATTTTTTCCCAAAATGGACAAACTTTTTTGTCATTACTGTTATCTTTTCAATAAACATTAGCCATGCCTTGAATTATTCTAACTATTGAGGCTGAGAAGTATCAAAGATTTGATCATTGTCCTCAGATTTTTTTACAGTCAATTTGGAGAAATACAAAGCAGAGAGATTGAAAAAAAAAACATAATATGCTAAATGCATATGCAGGAAACAAACACAGCAATGAAAACACGAGGAAGAGCCCACGAGGACCATAGCCACGCAAGGGTATTGGGAGAGAGTTCTTACCGGACATAGTTTTCCTTTGCAGTTTAATAGATGAGTCGAACTTTCACAGGTGGAGATGCAACAAGCAGATTTTTTTCAGGCATGAGAGGAGTGGAGGGTCAAGGACATGCTGTGAAGCTGTATATATGGCTAATGTCTAGACTACATTGGGGAAATCGAAATGGGTTAAACAGGGCAGTTGTGCCAGTGATGAGCCTTGTCAGGAAAGATGTGTAGGAAATGGATGAGGAAGGAAAGTGAGGACAACTGGTAGAATTTCAGTTTTCATTTGCCGACTAGAATAGGGGTGGAAAAACTAAACTGATGATTACTTCACAATATGACCCTGTGGAATAGTTCCTGAATGCTGAATCAATGAGTTTCAGTCAGGCAATTTTATATGTGTACTTGTTTTCTCTCTCTTTGAGATATGTAATGACACTTCTTTTCCTCCCTGCAGTCATAGCAGGGATTAGGGAAACTGAAGAGAAATTTTATTACATCGTGCAGGAAGAGAAGAACTACAGGGAGTCATTGACGCACTGCAGAATCCGGGGCGGCATGCTAGCCATGCCCAAAGATGAAGCTGCCAACACACTTATTGCTGATTATGTCGCCAAGAGTGGCTTCTTCCGAGTGTTCATTGGGGTAAATGACCTTGAAAAGGAGGGGCAGTATGTGTTCACGGACAATACTCCCCTGCAGAACTACAGCAACTGGAAAGAGGGGGAGCCCAGTGACCCCTATGGCCATGAGGACTGCGTCGAAATGCTGAGCTCAGGCAGGTGGAATGACACGGAGTGTCATCTGACCATGTATTTTGTCTGTGAGTTTCTCAAGAACAAAAAGTGACTTCCCCTATACCACACATTTGTTATGTCCCAGTGACTGTCACTGCAGTTATTTATCCCCCTAGTTAACACTGAAGTCATTCTGACTCAAAAGGAAATGCTAAACTGCATTTTGGGATCTGCATCGCTATGCTGTCTTATGACAATGTTATCGCTTTCATGTATGGTTTCTCATTGATCCAATAATTTACTGGGTTACACGTGTCCTGAGAGTATTTGGATTATTAATCACATAGGGAGTGTTGGTCTACAAGTCAAATTACAGATTCTCTTGGAATATATGCCTCCAGTTCTCCCTAGAGTCCTGCCCAATGAGTGTGACTGTGCAGCGTTCTGATAATGATTAGGTTGATTGGTCATGATTAGGCTAATCTGCCTTTGCTCAGAGCCAAATGTATAGGAAGGCCTTCTCTGAGTAATGTCAAAATATTACTTAGCTATGAACTCAACACCCCTAATTCTTTGAGTACCCATCCACCACAACCAGGTCATCCTTAGAAGTCTCCCTTATTTACATAGATGTGGAATAATTTTAACCTTGAATCTCCATAAGAGTATCTTCCAGCTTAGTGACCTATTCTAGACCATGTGGAAATGTAAGGAATCTTTTTAGGCTTCTGATCTAGATTTTCAAACTATATCAAGCAGGTACTTCTGACCCCTTTCTATATGCCTACTCCATTATGTCAGGACATAAGATATCAATGATTAAATTAGTCAAAAGGAAGACTCTTGAAATCTAAAACAATAGATAGTATTCATTTTTCCAAAATATGTATTGCAGTTCTATTGAATTTGCCTAGCTATTAATATGGCTTTATTTTTCTTTTTTGTCATAAACTTAACTCTATCACCTTTACTGCCCTTAAGCATGGGGTGGAAGGAGAAGGGATTTGTAAATCCTTCAGAAAACTTCAGAAGATTCAAGGATCCCAAATATCTTGCATCAAAATCTAAGCATACCCTTGCCACCAAAATATCACTCATATTAGCACATAATAGGAAGTCTTTCAGTCTCTGGAAATTAATATTTTAAGAACTGAGTCAGAAATGGCATCTGTAATGCTCAAACATCCCAGGAATGTGTCAAGTGTGAAGTTTAGACCATGTCTAGAATGCATGTTTTTACTCATGTGGTAAAATCCTACCTTGAACTATAGATCAAACCTCAAAGTGCTTTGGCTTGGAATTTAAAAGTAAACAGTTAAACAAAACTGATGCCTCAGTTATGATTTGTGACATATGATTTGGCTTGTTTAAAATGCTGGCAAAATAATTCATGAAATAAAAGAAGCAGATCAACAACATTAGTTCATCTTAAACCATCTGTCCTTGATCTCACTCACGACTTACTGCTTATGAGATGGGATTTATTTCTGTGTTATTTCTGTGGGTTCAAGAAGGGTCTTGAGCTCAGATCCTGTAGGACCGAGCCAGATTTCATAAACGAATGAGATAGAACGGTTGTGTACTGATAACAGTTTGCCCTTCTAAAGAAATTGGCTGCTCCCCAGTCACTGCTATCTTTGCCACAGAAGATTCATTGTTGGTACATATCTTTTCTTTTTTTATCTTGATATGTGAAGGGAAGTCAGAAAGCTGTTTTTCTATATCTTTATATTTTTAAATGTTGGCAACTAATCAATGTTTAACCCAAATTCAAAATCACATAGAATCTGCTAGCTAAAATTGTGCTGTTTCCATTTCTCACTTCTGGGGAAACGTTCTGAAGAATGTAATTAGAATATGATGACATCAAATTCAAGATTTTCCATTAATGCCTTATTTAATTCAGCTCAACATAGCAATCTGTAAGTTGCGTGACATTTATCAGATTTCCAAACTAGCTCTGTAGCTTCTTTTGAGAATATGGCAAAGGATATTGCGAAGGAAAGGCAGTTTTAATAAAAATGACACAATAGTATACAAGATCAAGGATAATATCCTTGGTAGAAGGTCAGCCAAGATGACAAAGAATGAGAACACCTAGAGATATTGGGAAATTTTTAAAGGGGGATAGTAGGAGAGGAAGATACTAACAGGTCGTGAACATTGGCTACAGGAAACTCAGTGTGATCCATGATGTGTTCAAATACCCTTCCCTTGATTATGCATTCCTTGTATATGTATTTTAGATGGTAGTATTATTTCTATTTTAAATATTATCATAAGAACACCAGTTCTCTCAATGACTCATCTTTTCTCTGGATGCTCCCAAGAGAAGATGAAAGAACTTCAAAGAACATTTTTCTTTCCTGCAAAATTGCCTGGAAGAGATTTCAAAATCACCACACAATTAGATCTGCAGTGAAAACAACATTTATGAAGTACTTTATGATTTATAACATGTCTCTGCATATTATTTTTCACTTTATTCCTACAAACTCTGACCAATAAGAAAGCATTTTTACTACCATAATCCAAAGTTACGGAGACAGACACAAGCTAAGCAATTTACCGAAACCAACTAATTTGCCAACCAAGTGTTCTCTCCAACATCTGTCCATGAGTGTTAAATTGAACTGAAGTACATCCACATTGTCCTTGTGAATAGCAAAGGCTTAAATCTCTCTCGCTCCCTCTCTCTCTCTGTTCTCATTTCTAAGGGAAAAATGTGGGTTAATCAGGAGAGATAGCAGGGATTTTGAAACACCTTAATAATTCTGTGTTTACTGGTTTATATTTTAAATTACAAACATCTACATAATGATGTAAGTGTGGTCAAAGTGAGTTAGAATAACCTCATTACAATATGCAGACAACAACAGATATGTAGAAATTGGGAATATGAAAACCAACGTTTGCCTGAATTAGAACTGAGTAGGTAGTTATTTTCCCACTGAAGAAGTTCATAAAATAATTCACATTTAAACAATTTTCATTCTTAAAATGTTGAATTTATACAGAGACACGTTCCTTACAAGAAAGAACCACAACTGTTCCAAGTGAAGAAAAATGAAAACTTTTTCACATCCTCAAAACACATCCTTTTCTAAAGCTTCTTCTCATTTCTTGTCAACCCATTCTCTAACCATGCAGGAAGAAATATTTTATTTCTAGAGTCATTGTCCAAACACAGTAGAAAAATGTACATACACCCTGGGTGGAGAAAGATATAATACTATTTATTGAACTTTGTACAGCTCACCATAAAAACACTGCTGGAATTTAAACAGAATGTATTTTGCCCTGTATTTCTTGTCAACCCGTTCTCTAACCATAGCTGTCTGGATTACATGTTTTGAGACCATAAGATACCTGTAAAACAGGAGAAGTAAATAAATTAAGTAGCATCATCAACAGACTGAGATAGAAGTTTTGCAGGTGTTATTACTGATAAGAAAGTCATAGTGTGATTCCATTTGACAATGTTACTCAAGAATTCAACATCTGTGCCTGTTCTCCAGACTACCTGATTTCCACTGTCATGGTGCCATCAACAAGCCACACACTAGAGGAATATTTTATGGGCTGTAAGCCTTGTTTCCCTAATCTCTACAGTTTATTCCTGTAAGTATGTTGTAACAATTAAAAGAGGTAATGTAATGAAGTATTGAGCACAGTAGCAGCTAGACACATTGCATGGCTGCAATGAAAATTAACCATCATTATCTGTTGAGTGCAGTCACTTGGGGAGTGAATCAGAGAATGCAAGATCTTTCTTTTTGTCTCCTTCTGCCTGTAAATCTGTCTTTTCAACAAAAATAAATACATCTCAAAAAAAAGTAACAAACCATGGTCCTAAGATAACACACACAGTATGTTTTTTTATGAATGTAGAACTTCATTTTTTTCTCCCCTTAATAGACTCATACAGACAGTATTTGAGTGATTTTGATAACTTGATAAGCCTACTCAAATTTTTTTTCTTTAATATTAAAAGCTTTTTAGTGAAAAATTTCAAATCTCTGCATTGTTTTACATATAACACATTTCCATGAACTTTTTAAAGACCTTTCCATAGTGTATTAAAATAAACTTCTGATTCTCACCCATCTTTCTCTTTTGCCTTTTGATGTTAATTGCTTTCAGATCTAGCCCTGAGACAAGCTTAGGCATCACTCAGAGGCTCCTAAGGAAACACAAAATAGGGACAGAAAACATGTGCTCACCATGGCACTGGTCACAAGGTACAGATCCAGCACCACCCCTTTCTCAAAAATCTAAATGTGTGTCACTCATACCCAGGATTCCAACTCTGTTGGTGATACAAAAGAGATACATGTGTAGAGTAAAAGTGGCAATCAAAATCAAGTGGACCACCTCAATCATACACAATGTGTTCATTATGAGAGAACATGTGTTGGGCAGCATTGCACACTAGAAGAGGAAACAACAGACGGATGATTGCAAATTCTCCCTAGAAGGCATTCTGATTAGCTGTCCCAGTGCTGGTGGGAAAATGAAGTCAATATCAGAGTTCAAAGGCACAAAGTCTACGTGGAGAAAAATAAGGAAGGGTGTGGCTTAAATGAATGAATGGTTGAATGCATCCACTCTTCAAAATGTTTGTGGAGTATCCAATGTTTTACACAATGCTGTGTTGATGAATGTGCACCCAATGGGAGAAACAGATCTGATTTCTACTGTCATGGACATAACTCACTTCATTCTACATCCAGCTATGACACTCAGGCATAACAGTGACTTCATTGTCAGAATTACACAAGCCTATTGCAATTTTATAACTATGCAGAGTTTCAACATCCTAGCTCCTCAAATATATAGTGAAATAAATTGGACCCAAAAAGAATTTGCGGAAGTCACCACCTTTTCTTGAAAAGTAACTTTGACACATCTATTTAAATTCATCAACACACCTATTTTGGCTGACTCATTTCTATGTGAACAAGTTCCCTTATCATTGTGTATACTCACCCACACCATTTCCTCATAAGATAGTCTAGATCCTTCTTGTTGTACATGACAAATAGTCAACATTACATTGCCTCCTTTTTGTTTCTCCTGATAACCTGAACCTCATAGTGAAAATCAGCTTTGCTATAGATTCTCACTCCCATAATGAAATAAGGAGGAATAAGAAAGAAGAGAGGGATAC